GTAGTTTAATTTCAAAATAATTTTGCAGGTTTTCCCCACTGGCTTTGCCTCATAAAACCCCATAGGAAGTACTAATTTAGCATGTAGGAAATGAGGCACTTCAAATGCAATCTTTCCAAATGATTATAGAAACTTCTAGAATTCAGTGATGCTGTCTACACTAAAAGAAGTATAAGGATGAGACATAAGGAAGACTCTCTAGCGCTATTTAGTGATAATTCAACTTTAAACATGGAACCCTAATCATGATGCTACAGTTTGTATTTCTTAGAGCAATTCTTCTCTGCCCTCCACCCTCAACATACTATTTAAAAGAAGTTAAACATTTTAGATCAAGCATATGGGTGTAATATAATTTAATCTGTTTTTCAAAGACATTACCAACAAATGATACAGTTATATAACTGGATGAAGAATACCAATATGTTTTGAATGTTTTTGGTGCCAGTGATCTAATGATCACAATAAAGACATGTCAGTTTGTGAAAGTAAGTGTGTGTTTTTCATGTGACTATTGAATGTGTTTTACTCATCTTCAAACCTGGCACTGAATGAAGCACTTAAATCCTTAACATTTTTAATAGAAATAATTTTTTTATTTTTTTAATTATTTATTTATGATAGTGATACAGAGAGAGAGAGAGAGAGGCAGAGACAAGGCAGAGACATAGGCAGAGGGAGAAGCAGGCTCCATGCACCGGGAGCCCGACATGGGATTCGATCCCGGGTCTCCAGGATCACACCCTGTGCCAAAGGCAGGCACCAAACCGCTGAGCCACCCAGGGATCCACGAATAGAAATAATATAAATAGAACTTTGGATAAATAAATTCTGAAATATATTATTCTATGTATAATCATGGAGTTATTTGTGAGGTTTGGGTGGCCTGGGTACATTTTCTCTAATATCTAAACTTGATATATAATTAAGGGATTTTTTTTTTGAGAACTGAGAAAGGACTGTTAGAAATCATCTAATTCAATTTTCTCATTTTCTTTTGCTCCCCTTTCTTCTACTTTGTAGTTGATACGATTTCTATATTCATCTTGGTCATTTATTTTTCTTCTGTTTTCCCATTTTCCTCATCAGGGGAAGCCAAATCTCACTTTCCAGATGAAGCTTAGTGTCAGCCAGACACCTGGGTCAACGTGAAATGTCTGTTAAATTAACCGAACAGTGGTTTACTTTCACACCCTGACTGAATTGTTTGATTTTAGCCTGGGTTAGGTTGATAGTTTTTCATTTAGGCTCTCTGGTTTAGTCCTTTTAGTAAGTTGATTTGATTAACTAAGTTTATTTTACTCACATTAATGTCATCTCCCAACTGATTGCCTCAGTGTCTATAGTCTGTAAATAGCTCAAGGGCTTGAGGGTTTTTTGTTATTTTTATACTTTTACAAAGCAGACTTCTCCTTTTGGGCAGGTCCACAGCGTGTTCATTTTTCAGTGTCTTGGACAGTGCTTTCTACCCAGTAGGCTCTCAGTATTTGGTTTATTTTAATCTTATGTATATTCTCTTATTCTGTTCACTTGAGATATAGATTAAGAGTTTTTACCATAAATTAGGACATCACTTTCGTGGTTCTACATGAATTCTGTGGAGTCTCAGTTGAAGCACTGGATATTATTCTGAGCTCTTTCAAAGTCTTCCCAAATTTTGGCATTCTTTGAAGACTTCATGTTAATGGGATCGCTTGTCTGGCATCTGAGATTCTTTCAATAGTTGTAAGTGCTCCATTCTTTTCATTTCTTATTTTTTAGATTTATTGAAACTCCAAAATTTGTTTCCGTTGAGTGTTACTGATACATTTATAGATGAAAATTTCTGAATAAAGTTTACCTGAGGGAAACATAGATAATTAAACCCCAAATCTCTTTTTTTAATCAGTGATAAACCACTACAGACAGAAGAAGAGAATGCTAGTATTTTAGAGCACTGAAGGGAATGCCGAAGTGGGAATCTTATAGTCACCATAGGGAATTAAAAACTGGATATTGCCAAGCCTCTTCCTTTTACATATAAGGAAATGAAATCAAAGAAAGATTAAATGATTTGTCCAAGATGCACGATAGTGACTGAAGGATCCTGACTCCTTTTCCAGTGCTCTTCTGATACTACTGTCCTGAGAGATGAATCCTAAATTCCTTAGATGTTTCCATTTCTCCATCTCTATTCCTGCCCTTCTGTCTAGAGTAAATCACAAAAGGCCAGGTCCCTCTAAACCTTTTACTGAAACTATTAAAAGAAGAACAGTGAAAGATCCTGCTTAGCTGGCGGTGGTTAGATGTGAGAGACTGGGTAAGGATGAGTAGTGAGTGGTTAAACCTGAAAGACTTCACAGGTCATGTTTATCTAATACTTTCAAAGTTGTTAGAAAACCTCACCAACTTGCATGGGCTTTTACAGAAAAGACAAGCATCCCATGATCATCAACACTCTTCAGCAATGATTTTCTTCCTTATTCTTTTATATAGGAGTGCATTCCAATTTAGGGTACTTTAACTGTCAGAAATATCAGAAAGAGCTTTTACACTCTAAGCAATCTTCCCCAAACCCCTCTCCAGTAGACACACAGTGAGAGCAATTTTGAAGCAATCCTTGTTTTGCCTTCCCATTGCCCTCTCACCCCAGATGCAGCTTTCAGCTAATTAGCTCTTCCTGACATCGAGATGAGAGTTATAAGGTGCTCTACCTGGAGAGGTACATTGGGGGAGGTCACGCAACTCTAGCCTTGCTGGGATTTATTTGTGAAAGCCCTATTTCGGTTAGCTACTCGACGCCTAACTTCTCAGTTGCCCAAGTGCTCACAATTTCAAGGTTCCAATGAACTGAAACTTACCATTTTAACTGTAGGTCAGCCTCTCTACTCTGCTTTTGCCTCTTATCCTTAGGTATTGCCAGTCCCAGCTGTAATGAAATCCATTTTTATTTTTTTTTAATCTGAAGAAATATTGAATGTTAGGACAGAATCACCGGACTTGTTTCTAATGGGCATGTTACTTAAAGATTAGAAGACAATGAAAGAACGAGGACCCCCTCAATATTTTTAGCATCCAGTATGCTTTGGGAGGCAGCAAATCAGAGGACCAGGCTCTGCTAGACCTTCAGAGAGGAATGAAGCCAATTAATGTACAATGACCAGCAGCAGTGCTTTATTTGAAGGGTCTTTTACAATGACACTTTTTAACAGGGTAATCGTAGACATCTGTTTCATGTGCCTTAGCAGCAACATAGCCAGTATTTGCTAAGATCTTCTGAGCATTTACAGCTTTACACAAAAGGACATTTTGGCAATTCCGGTTTCTATACAATAGGCATACTATGCAAAATACTGAGCTAGAATTCAGCATTGTGGTAGAAACGCTCAATGTCACCAGAGCGATTGACTCATTCCACCTGGCTTTCAGACGTTTGGAGAAGCAAAACATATGCACCTTAATTGCAAAAGGTGGGCTTAATGAACGTGCAGGCGTCATGTTATACCAAATGCAACAATCGACATGATGGCAAGCTGCTTGAGAACATGTCACAATGTTTGATTTTTAATATTTTTTTCTTTATTTATTTATGATAGTCACAGAGAGAGAGAGAGAGGCAGAGACACAGGCAGAGGGAGAAGCAGGCTCCATCCACCGGGAGCCTGACGTGGGATTCGATCCCGGGTCTCCAGGATCGCGCCCTGGGCCAAAGGCAGGCGCCAAACCGCTGCGCCGCCCAGGGATCCCCCACAATGTTTGGTTTTTAAGAGGTTTGCCTTTGGCAATGTTTCAGAGAAGAATGTGTTCCTTACGTTTGCAGTCCTGTGAGCCAATAATAAAATGTTCAGCATATGAAACTGGTATTTATTTTAAATTTCTATGTCAATATTTTTGTTTAAAAGCAGGTTTGATTCCCTGTGTGGACTTTGTTGAAGCCTTCTATCACTGCTTTTTATTTGAGTTTGATTTAGCTTCTTTTCCCCCTGATTTTGTGTTTTGCAGAATGGCTTGCATTGAAAGCCTCTGATTGGGTTGTGGGGGGGGGGATAAAGTTGCTATGTGATTTCAAAGCCCAGGAAATGTGAAAAGGAGCAACATTTGCTGAAGGCATCAGAGAAGTGACTGCAATCAAGCAGTGTTGGTTTGTGACCTTGAAGCTTCCCAGAATAGCTACCACATTTGGAATAATGGAAGCCCTGAATTCAAATGCCTCAGGATGACCTCAGCAGCAGGAGCCCCCTTCCTCCTACTGTGATGTCTCCAGGCTTTATGTCAATGTTTAGTCCGTTAGCAGGAATCCAGAAAATCAGGCTTTTGTTTTCAAAAATACAAAATAAAGGCAGCCGTTGTGGAATATTGCATAACTGATTTAATCCTAATGTGATGTCAAGACAAATTTACCCCACAGTTGAGAGAACGCTTTATCTACCACGGATCCCATTGCTGTGTGGATGCTTGGTGCTCTTCCAATAAATCGTTGGGCAGGTGTTTTCATAAACTCTCAGAATTCTCCATCCCAGGCGCATTTCTGTGGGGTAATCAAAACAGGCTTTTTCTAACAGCAGTCTGAAACAGTCTGCATCATCTGTACACATTGAGCTGAAAAAATATTGTATTCATAAATTAAATTGGACATTTTGAAAGGTTAACGCAAAAAGCTACTTTGCTCTAGGTAATCAATAAGGAAAAAAGGATCTCAGGTAATTAAAATCTGTGAAGTGAACATTTCTCATTTGGAACCTATTAAAAAGAATATAAGCAGACAGAGGCAAGAGATAAATATGGAAAACAAGTGCTTCAGACTTTTTGTTAAATGTTGGCAAGGGAATAATAACGTCTATTGAGAGGTCTGAAAGGATATAACATGTTATTATAGATAATATAGCAAATTATACAGTCTGTATATAAGTTGTGTGTGTGTGTTATTTAATTTATGCATTAGGCTGTGATTTTAAAATATGAGTATTCTTTATTTTGGGCTCCAGTTTAGCTATTATGTATGTCTTCCTTACTTAAGGTGTGACTCAGGAACCAGTATGAACCATGGATGCTTGGGAAAAATACAGAATTCCAGGTCCATCTCTGACCCGCTGAATCAGGATTTGCAATTTCCTGAGATCCCTGGGGATTCATGCGTACACTGCAGTCTGAGAACATGGCTTTGGGTGATTGTCTCATAGTAAGGTGGGTTGCCTCTTAACAATTTGTGTTCATTTTTTTAGATGCAAATCAGTAGTGTTTTTGTTGGCTAAATGCAAGGATAATAACTGACTCTACAGAGGTTATGCTGGAGTACCTGACTTTGTGCAATGTAGCAACTAAGAGAAATACCTATTTTATTTTATTTTTAATGATTTTATTTATTTATTCATGAGACACACACACACACACACAGAGAGAGAGAGAGGCAGAGACACAGGCAGAGGGAGAAGCAGGATCCACGCAGGGAGCCTGACATGGGACTTGATCTGGGGACTCCAGGATCACACCCTGGGCTGAAGGCAGCGCTAAACCGCTGAGCCCCCCGGGCTGCCCAGGAAATACTTGTAGAGTGGAGTCAGACTCTCAACACAACTTGCTTCTGGGCCCTTACTGACACCCCTTTTCTTTTTGTTCCGTGGTGACTTTCCTTCTTTTCTTTACCATTTGCCTACCAAAATTCAATCTCTGGTTCCAGGTTACAGTTTCCTTTATCTAGACTTCAGAAATCACCTCCCTGGAATTTTTTTGATACCTTTGTTGGGATATTCTTAGTTCTTTAGAATTTTTCTAGAGATTTGACCCTGGTTATAGATGTTAGACTCTGAAACATCTGAACACTTGCCCTTTGTGGTGGTTAATTTTATGTATCAACTTGACTGGGCTAAGGGTTCCCCAGATAGCTGGTAAAATATTATTTCTGGCTGTGTCTGTGAGGCTGTTTATGGAAGAGATTAGCATTTGAATCAGTACACAGTGGAAAGCAGTTGGTCCTCCTCAGTGTAGGTTGGCATCATCTAATCCATTGAGGGCCTAAATAGAACAAAAAGGCCAAGGAAGAGTGAATTCACTTTCTCTCTTTGAGCTGAGACATCCATCTTCTCCTGCCCTTAGATATTAGACATCAGCCTCTGGTTCTTGAGCTTTTAGACTCAGACTGGATGATCAGCTCTCCCCACCCTCCCTCCAAGGTGGGTCAGTCCTTAGATTGATTGCCTGCCTATGATTCCTGCTTTCCTCATTTAACCTTCTGGTCTCAAGCATACAGCTTCTGCTCGATACAATATGCTAGAATATAAAATTCATTTTGCTTTCTCTTCAGTTTTCATATAGCTCTTAGAACATTGAAGTAGCATATGCTTCATTTTAGTTTTGACATAGAGTTGCAATGATGTATTGTTTTTATGATGGAAAACCCTTGTTTTTGCTAAGGATTAAAATATATGGCTTTGGCTTGTGGATAATAAATATTTATCTATCTATTTATCTCTATATCATTTTTTACAATGAAGAATAAGGCCCTGTGCTATGTGCTGTGTGGTATAAGGATGAATTATAAAAGACATGATCTAGAGTACCTAGTGCATGTTGACTATAATACAGGTAGGCCGTTCTATAAGTGCTATGAAAATAGAAGTGACAAGAAGGGCATTAGGTGCTCAGAGTAGAAAGAAATCACATCAACCTGATATTCAGGAAAAGGCCCGAAGAAGAGGCAATGTATGAATAGAACCAAAACGTTATAGGGAAATGGTATTCCCAGCCCAGGGCATAACAAGGGCACAGATGCTAAAAGAGATTTATATAATATATACCCAGAACCATACTGGACATTTTGGTGAAGCTGAATATATGTAAAGGCAAATGGTAGGAGACAGAGGAATCTGAAGACTATGTGCTAAGCATATGAACTGGATCCCTGGAAGGAGCATAATTGTTAGTGACAAAAATGGGAGAAAAAGAATGCTATAGTGAGGAAGGACACAGAATTCAACAACTTTGTGCCTGAATACCTGGCTACTAAAGGCTAGCCATGGAAAGGTCATACTTAGCAATGAAGATATGTCTATGAAGTCTTTGTCCATCTAAACAAGATTTCTCATCCAGAATGAAAAAGGATACATTAGAAGTTAATGGCACCATCAAGTGATGGGCAGCCACATTTGGAATACTAGAAGCCCTGGACAGACAGAGGATAATACATGGGTCATATGTTTGGCCAAATGGATCTAAGAGATTGAGAATCCAGCAAACTCATTTATCAAATTTCACAGCTCAAGACACCAGAAGAGAACAGGTGAATTTGGGGTGAATGGAGAATAGCCTAATGGAGAAAGTATGGACCCAGGACTTAAGGACGACAATACAGATTGTGTCTTAATTCACTGGGCAACTTCTGGCAAGCCATTTCAACTCCCTGGGCTTCAGGGTCCTCGCCTGTAAAATGAGGACAGTCTCCATTCCTAACCACGGTGGATACTCTTCACCTAATTTTATAGTTCTTTTGAAGATCACAATGAACCAACAGATTTCAAGTGGGAGACTCTGCCAATCAGCAGGATGAGGGCAGCGATTTATATTTCTTTCTGAATATCAAGATGAAAAAAATGTTGGGTCTACATTGCAGATATTGATTCATTTGGGACCGTTGTTGGACACTCAGGTAAGTAGTGGTCGAAGCCCAGTGCTTGAGAAGTACCAGTAGACCCAAGACCCCTATTCATTGCCTTTTTTGGCCACTGGACTGCCGGAGGAATCGGAGGACAGCAGGAGTGAGAAGCTGTTACTGGAGACATCTCAAGGTGACTCTTTGAATAGGTCTTGATATTGGGCCTTCAAAAAAAAATATTCCACTCCTAGCTTATACCTGAGTCCATGATGCTTAAACTTCAAGTTATGTATTTTTTGGGTTCATCACTGTGGAAGTTCTTACAACAATTTGTGATTATGACATTTGCTCCCAAGTATTACACAGTCAGTTTATGCACTGCAGGGAATATCTGCCAATCAATTAATATATCTCAGGGCAATATAAAAAAAAAATCTGGTGGCTGTAGTCCCTTCTCATTACAGTTTTCTGCACAGTCTACTCTGTAAAGAAAACTGCAAAAATAGAAGAAGATGTATTTTCAGAAAATTATTCACAATTAATGCCAAGTGATAAAATGCCTAAGTCGAGGAAATGTCCCTCGATTAAATGTTGAGGGAAAGACAATGCTAACTTGACCTCCTTCAATTTTCATACGGAGGCTTGTGAAGTTTGAGTAGGATAGAGAGAAAAGCACCTTTTAGTCCCAGAAGCTTTTTAAAGCTGCACTGTGTGTCTTCTTTTTGTAATCTCAGGTTCTATAGTCTCCTTTACCAATTGTGAGAGGTGTGGAAGGGCTAGTTTATATCTTTCAGAAGGGACACCTGGGTCCACAGGTTGAAAGAACTTTGAAAGTTATTTGTATCTTTGCCAGTCACTGCATTGTGTGAGAATCACTGTAGCTAGTGTGTAAACTACCTTTGAATAAGAGGCAGAAAATGGAATTTATCAGGGGACAATGCCCTTTGTTTAGAAGGAGCAACAAAAGATGAATCAAAGACCACAGCCAGTCTTCTGTGGTTAGTGTCCCATTTTTCCAGATTAAAAGGGGGATAATATTCAATCTTGATTGTGCACAGAGGCCTTTGGTACTTTAAGGAGATGGAGGAAGAAGAGAAATGAAAAAGAAATAAAGGGACCAATATGTTCTTGAACTGTGACTTCCGGCAGCTGCATTTAAAAAACAACCATTGCATTGAACGTGTAAATTGCCCTGGGTAGCATTGACATTTTCACAATATTAATTCTGCCAATCCATGAGCATGGAATATTTTTCCATCTCTTTGTGTCTTCCTCAATTTCTTTCAGAAGTGTTCTATAGTTTTTAGGGTATAGATCCTTTACCTCTTTGGTTAGGTTTATTCCTAGGTATCTTATGCTTTTGGGTGCAATTGTAAATGGGATTGACTCCTTAATTTCTCTTTCTTCAGTCTCATTGTTAGTGTATAGGAATGCCATTGATTTCTGGGCATTGATTTTGTATCCTGCCACGCTACCAAATTGCTGTATGAGTTCTAGCAATCTTGGGGTGGAGGCTTTTGGGTTTTCTATGTAGAGTATCATGTCATCGGCGAAGAGGGAGAGTTTGACTTCTTCTTTGCCAATTTGAATGCCTTTAATGTCTTTTTGTTGTCTGATTGCTGAGGCTAGGACTTCCAATACTATGTTGAATAGCAGTGGTGAGAGTGGACATCCCTGTCTGGTTCCTGATCTTAGGGGAAAGGCTCCCAGTGCTTCCCCATTGAGAATGATATTTGCTGTGGGCTTTTCGTAGATGGCTTTTAAGATATCGAGGAAAGTTCCCTCTATCCCTACACTCTGAAGAGTTTTGATCAGGAATGGATGCTGTATTTTGTCAAATGCTTTCTCTGCATCTAATGAGAGGATCATATGGTTCTTGGTTTTTCTCTTGCTGATATGATGAATCACATTGATTGTTTTACGAGTGTTGAACCAGCCTTGCATCCCGGGGATAAATCCTACTTGGTCATGGTGAATAATTTTCTTAATGTGTTGTTGGATCCTATTGGCTAGTATCTTGTTGAGAATTTTTGCATCCATGTTCATCAGGGATATTGGTCTGTAATTCTCCTTTTTGGTGGGGTCTTTGTCTGGTTTTGGAATTAAGGTGATGCTGGCCTCATAGAATGAGTTTGGAAGTACTCCATCTCTTTCTATCTTTCCAAACAGCTTTAGTAGAATAGGTATGATTTCTTCTTTAAACGTTTGATAGAATTCCCCTGGGAAGCCATCTGGCCCTGTGGAATCAGAAAAGACCCCAAACAGCCAGGGGAATTTTAAAAAAGAAAACCATAGCTGGGGACATCACAATGCCAGATTTCAGGTTGTACTACAAAGCTGTGGTCATCAAGACAGTGTGGTACTGGCACAAAAACAGACACATAGACCAATGGAACAGAATAGAGAATCCAGAAATGGACCCTGAACTTTATGGTCAACTAGTATTCGACAAAGGAGGAAAGACAATCCACTGGAAGAAAGACAGTCTCTTCAATAAATGGTGCTGGGAAAATTGGTCATCCACATGCAGAAGAATGAAACTAGACCACTCTCTTGCACCATACACAAAGATAAACTCAAAATGGATGAAAGATTTAAATGTGAGACAAGACTCCATCAAAATCCTAGAGGAGAACACAGGCAACACCCTTTTTGAACTTGGCCACAGTAACTTCTTGCAAGATACATCCACGAAAACAAAAGAAACAAAAGCAAAAATGAACTATTGGGACTTCATCAAGATAAGAAGCTTTTGCACAGCAAAGGATACAGTCAACAAAACTCAAAGACAACCTACAGAATGGGAGAAGATATTTGCAAATAACATATCAGATAAAGGGCTAGTTTCCAAAATCTATAAAGAACTTATTAAACTTAACACCAAAGAAACAAACAATCCAATCATGAAATGGGCAAAAGACATGAAGAGAAATCTCACAGAGGAAGACATAGACATGGCCAACATGCACATGAGAAAATGCTCTGCATCACTTGCCATCAGGGAAATACAAATCAAAACCACAATGAGATACCACCTCACACCAGTGAGAATGGGGAAAATTAATAAGGCAGGAAACAACAAATGTTGGAGAGGATGTGGAGAAAAGGGAACCCTCTTACACTGTTGGTGGGAATGTGAACTGGTGCAGCCACTCTGGAAAACTGTGTGGAGGTTCCTCAAAGAATTAAAAATAGACCTGCCCTACGACCCAGAAATTGCACTGTTAGGGATTTACCCCGAAGATTCAGATGCAATGAAACGCCGGGACACCTGCACCCCGATGTTTCTAGCAGCCATGTCCACAATAGCCAAACTGTGGAAGGAGCCTCGGTGCCCATCGAAAGATGAATGGATAAAGAAGATGTGGTTTATGTATACGATGGAATATTACTCAGCCATTAGAAACAACAAATACCCACCATTTGCTTCAACGTGGATGGAACTGGAGGGTATTATGCTGAGTGAAGTAAGTCAATCGGAGAAGGACAAACAGTGTATGTTCTCACTCATTTGGGGAATATGAATAATAGTGAAGGGGAATATAAGGGAAGGGAGAAGAAATGTGTGGGAGATATCAGAAAGGGACACAGAACATAAAGACTTCTAACTCTGGGAAATGAACTAGGGGTGGTGGAAGGGGAGGAGGGCGGGGGGTGGGGGTGAATGTGTGACGGGCACGGAGGGGGACACTTGACGGGATGAGCACTGGGTGTTATTCTGTATGTTGGTAAATTGAACACCAATAAAAATTAATTTATAATAATAAAAAAAACAATGTTGGGCTTATATTAGGTATTCATTAAATATGTTTTAAACAAATAGATAAAGTATACATTAATCAAATGAAAATGGGCCAATATAATTTAAATTAATGTAGTATTTCTCATATTTGCCCGATAAGACTTATTTGGACATTCTGATTCAGTAAGCCTAGAGTGGGGCCCAAGAATCTGTATTTTTAAGAAGCTTCCCAACTGATTATTTTAATGGAGCCATTTGGGAAACACAGGAAAATGCAAAGATTGATGGTGGTTTGGAGAAAACAGTGAAGTGACAAGACTGGTTTTCAGAGATCAGTGACTGCTCATTGGTCTCATCTGGGAGGTATTTTTAAAAATCCTGACACTAAGGAGGGCACATGATGGGATGAGCACTGGGTTCATACTCTATGTTGGCAAACTGAATTTAAATAAAATATTTTAAAAAAATCCTGACAGCACAGACACTACTCCAGATCAATGAAATTAGAATTTCTGGGGTGGGACCTGGATTTGGGCCAGATTTTAACATTCATCAGGTGATTCTAATGCAGAGCCAAGCCTGAAAAGCCCCTACGATGGGCAGAAATATTTTGTCAGTACTCCAAATGTATCACTAGGTTGTGCACTTGTTGCTTCCAGCTTCTTATGTCCCCCAGCTAGATTCCTTGACCTCCTAGTCTGGAAGAAACATGTGCAGAAACTTACACAATAACCCAATCTGGGGTTATTTTTTGCTTTTGTAAAAAATGTTATTTAAACCAACAACTGAATACAATCTCCTTTACTTCACGGCCAGAGCAGAAAACATCTCAATATTTTGAAGGTGAGAAAGTCAAGGTTTCCTGGGTATAGCTTAGGTGGTTAGGATGAGCCATGGAGAGCAAAAAGCACTATGCTTATAATAAAATGGGAGAACACATAGGGGAATCCTGAGTTTGTCTTGAGTGCCTAGAGAGAGATGGCAGGTGGCCCAGGAAAGAGGGAGAAGAGGAGGATGTGGAGAGTCTGTAGCAGTGGTTCTCAGTCCAGCTGCGTATGGAAGTCACATAGGGAGCTTAAGAAATTACTGATTCCAGACTGCTTCTCAAAGACTCTGCTGTAATAAGTGTAGACATGTAGTGTGTGTGCTATATGTGATGCAGCAAAGTTGTTATCAGAGGTTTAGAGGAAAAAAGGGGAGGGCACCTAGGTGGCCCAGGGCGTGATCCTGGGGTCCTGGGATCGAGTCCCACATTGGGCTCCCTGCATGGAGCCTGCTTCTCCCTCTGTCTCTGTCTCTGCCTCTCTGTGTCTCTCATGAATAAATAAAATCTTAAATAAAAGGGGGGGACGTCCACAATTAGAGTTAGGGGCCCTCTGGGCTTGCATTACTACACATAAAATAATTTGTAGCACAAAGCTGGGTTCTTCCGAATCTGACCGTCTACACTTTTATTTATCCTGGAGCTAGAGATATACATATTTACATATATACATATTTTGGCTAAGAATCAAAACTTTCTTAAACCTTTCCATATCCACCAGCAGCATAGAAATGAAAGAAAAGAATTTTTGGGTCATTTGTACATACAGAAACATAAATTTTGTTTTGCTCTGTTTAATCATTTCATGACAGTTAAAGTGTAGGCAAAATGAACAGAGAACAAAAATGCTGTGCTGAGGCGAAGATGTTGGGTGATTGGTGAGGCTCACCAACTAGCTGGGTGACTTGCCTCACCACTTCCTCGCCTCTGGCTTTGAAGGACATAACCCAACTTCATATCTTAGCCAAACTGCCAGACGTCATGGAATTTTAAGGTGTCTTATGAAAATCTAAAAACAGAAATGTTAACTGCTTTTACTTTTAGAAATACCACTATTTACATTACAGCTTCAAATGTTTGCATCTGCTGTTCCTACTTTAAAGTTCCTGGCAAAGTAGCATAAGTGAAAGAATATGCAGTCACAAAAATGTCCAAGGAATTTAGGGTTGACCATGCAGCCTGTGCTCAAGGCTTAAATGAAGACTGAGTCACGCTGATCTGACATGGCCTCAAATTCTGTTCCTCTTATTTAGGTGGTAAAAGATTTAGAGCCATGAGAACCTTATAATCAAGTTCAAGCAGAAACTTACTATATTTCTTGGCTTTCACCTGTTTAATAATATGTCTCTGGTTTCCTTCTGTAAAATAAGCTTCAGCATAAATGAGCTGAGGAGAAATAGGAGAGGGAGTCCAAAGGAACACATAAAGTTTACCCCTATAGTACTGAGAATTCAAAGGGACTTAAAGTCCAGGTCCTACGGGCACACACATTCATTTAAAAACAACAGGATGGTTCCTCACGAAAACTGAGTTGGGGCAGTCTCTCAGATGAATAAGCTTTACTCATTCTTTATACCTGGAATTCCCTAGATTTAAAAAGAGAGAGCCCAAGAGCATATACCCATGTGTTCATATCACAACTTTCCACCTGTATCTATCTGCGCTGACACTACCTGTCATTCACCCAAGTAAGCAAACACTGATTCCCTCAGAGTGTGTAGGTGGAAGGAGTCAATAGGGTCATCATCACTCAGAATGATGTCAACACTCTTAATCATTTTAATATATATATTCAGGAAGAAACTTACAGTTGAGAGATAGGAAATATATGATGCCTGATAGCATGAATTCTGAAGCCAGATTACCAGGTTTGAATCCCAGCTTTACCACTTGGTAGCTGAGTGACTTTGGGCCAAGTTACTTCATCCTGTACCTCTGTTTCCTCATCCATAAAATGCAAATATATCCTATCTCATAGGGTGTGAGGATTAAATGAGTCAATACATTGAAAGTGCTTATAACAATGGCATATATGAAGTGCTCAATAAATACTGTTCTTAGCCCAATCCCTCCCCTCATGTGTTTTTTATTTTTTGTTTCATTTTTACTTTTTTTTTTTTTTTTTTTTACTGGCTGAGTGTGGAATCTGTACAGCTAGCTGAATACTGTCCTGCACATGGACAAATACTTACTCCTCTTAGCCAATCAAGTTAACCCAACTTCCCTGGCCAGTGACTGATTTACAAACAGGCAGATGATACAATTCTAGCCAATGAGACACAAGGTCCTGCAGGGGTGGTGATGTTCAGAAAAGATGTGCATTGGAAGAAAGTATTTCTTTTCTTCTCTAATGATGCTGTTTTTGCATGTCCCCCTGCCTGGAACAGTGAAGCCATCTTGGCAATGTGAAAAGAGCTGGAAGAAAGATGAAAGCAACAGTGACAATGTTGAGTTGAAGAACTAATCAACCCTGAAGTTTCTACATCTGGATTTGTTATAGGAAATAATAAATTTTCCTTATTGCGTAAGCCATTTTGTTTTTGTTTGTTTGTTTGTTTTTGTTTTTTTTTATGATAGCCAGAGAGAGAGAGAGAGACAGAGAGACAGAGAGACAGAGAGAGAAGCAGGCTCCATGCACTGGGAGCCCGACGTGGGATTCGATCCCGGGTCTCCAGGATTGCACCCTGGGCCAAAGGCAGGCGCCAAACTGCTGCGCCACCCAGGGATCCCCGCGTAAGCCATTTTGACTAGGATTTTCTGTTATTGTACCTGAAACATTCTAACTGGTTGATATTTCTTGAGCATCTAGTATGTTTGAGATATATTATAGGAAATAAAGTATTAAACTCTAAACCTGATCTCAATAAGTTTTCCAGCTACTTGGGGGAGAAAAGCTATGAAAACTAATAATATCAAGCTGTAAATATTAAGTGCTTGGATCAAGATGGTCTGAGACAGCTATACATGAGGTCCTGTATGAAGAGATGGCTCAAAGAATAAAGAACACATTGATAGGCAGGAGAGGGAACATTCTAGGTAGTGTCAGCTAACATATGGGAGAGTTAGGGGTTGTATAAACTTGCTTAGAGTACCATTAAGGAATACTCCAAACTGGGTGGCTTTAACAACAGAAAGTTATTTCTCATAGTCCTAGAGTGTAGAGATCCAAGATCAAGGAGTTGGCAGTATGGATTTAATTCTGAGCTCTCTGTCCTTGGTATGCAAATGGCTGCCCTCTTACTGTGTCCTCACATGGTCTTTTATTTGTGCATGTGTACCCTGGCATTCCTCTATATGTCCAAATTTCTTCACACAAGGACAAGAGATTGTACTAAGACTTAGCTTACTGGCCTTATTTTAAGTAAACCATCTCTTTAAAGTACCTATTTACAAACACAGTCACATTCTAAGGTCTCAGGGGTTAGGACTTCAACATATGAATTTTGAGGGGATACCAGTCAGCCTGTAACAGGGATGAAGAAAGAATAACTTGCTTTTAAGAGTGAGTCAAAAGTTAGAGATGATTGGGACATGAAGCTGGAAGGTTATGTCAGGACCTGAGGATAGTGGACCTTAAATGTTGAGCCTAGATTTTACTCTCACAGCAGCAGGGAAGGAAAAGGGATCTTTAAGAATAATTTGGCACAGTGTGCCATAGGTTTTATAAGTAAAGAATTAGGTGAGAGAAGTGGGGCAGGATTGCTGTGGCACATAGTCCAGGTATGCATTGATAAATGACTGAACTCCAGGGAGGGAAGTTGAAAGGATCCAAACGAGACAGAAACCGAGGAGAAAAGGACAATATGGAGCTTGGACATTCTCAGCAATTGGGCCAGTGGAAATATGTGCCATAATAATTCAACTCATAAACCAAAGCATTATTTTTATCCTAATAGGACCATGACACCTGGGACATTGTGGCTCCAGCTTTCTAACACTTAGGAATACCCGTCTGAAAGGGAATAGGCTTCCTTGTTGGGTATGGAGTATCCTGGAGGTGTTCTAGAAGTTAAGGTTACAGAAAGGATATAAATATCAGGTAGGAGATTGGATTATTAGCTATTAGAAGTCCTTATGGCTTAGGGTCAGAACCTTGATGGTTTCAACCCAGAATAAACAAAACATGTAGCAATTACCCCAAATGTTGTCTTCGCTCAGGGGTAACATAGATCTCTGGACTAGACTCTTTGTTGTTTAGTTTGGGCAACACTCAGCATGCTTCAACAGCATTGGGTGTTATGTTAGTTACAAGTTGGTATGTACATTTTATAATGGGCTTAGAAAATTAAGGTTAAGAATTTGATCATTAACATGAAAACTCCGATTTTTAAGTTCAGATTATATGATTTTTGTGAATTATAATAACTAAGCAAAATATCTGCTAAGTTATTCTTTTAAAAATACTTTTTAAGTTTCAAAAGAAATATGTGTTGTTTTTCTTAAGTTGAAAGTACACTGAAAAAGTATCCTTCTACCCTTTCCAGTCCAATTCCCTTAGGGGCAGACACTGCGAATGGTTTCTTTGGTGGCATTCCAGACCTTTTACTCAACATATCTCTACCCCCACCCGCCCACACACTCATATATACAAATACACATTTTATGACCCATCAAGTATATATAGCATACATAATATAAATGCATGCATATTTATATGGCTATAAATATTATATACACACTCAAAGGCATGTTTTTTTTTATTTAATACAATCAGGAATTTTTTTAAGATTATTTATTTATTTATTTATTTATTCATAGAGACACACACAGAGAGAGAGGCAGAGACACAGGCAGAGGGAGAAGCAGGCTCCATGCAGGGAGCCTGACTTGGGACTCGATCCTGGGTCTCCAGGACCACACCCTGGGCTGAAGGCAGCGCTAAACCGCTGAGCCACCCGGGCTGCCCCACAATTAGGACTTGTATTAATCACTAACATTGTGCATTTTTTCATTTATATATACAAATTCCCATGTTAGTACATATATATTCGCAAATAAGTCATGTTTTAAATACCTCTTTAAATAATAAAAGCCAAATAGACTACTTCATGTACATTATTCAAGAATTAGAAAAATAGGGTACTCTAAGAAAACGATAATGGCATAATAAATCTGTCAGTTCTCAAACATTACAACATGTAGGGGCATTCTAACCTGAACATTTTCAATGGACTCTCACAAGAAGAAAAAATGATCCAAGCTGTCTTAATACTTGTATTAATATGAAACTTTTCCAGTTGCTTTCTTTTCAGATATTGAAAACTTTTATTCACACACAGTACCACCTTCAAAAGTTGCCAAAAAGCACATGTAGTTAAAAAAATCCCCTTTCCTTCCAGCTCTCTAGCCACATGAGTTTTCTCCCAACAGGCAACTGTTAACCAGATTCCTATATTCTAAAGATATTTAAGATTCTGTACATTTAAAATAAGAAAATATCAAAAAAGCAATATCGTATCTCCCAATATCTAGCACTTGAGAGTAATTTTTACCACAGTTTGACTTCTCTACCCAAATGAGAAAGAAAGGATAGACATAAGCCACAAAGTCAAAAAGCTTCTTTGGGAGCCTGGGATGATGACAAGATAGGTAATCAATAAGATGACAACCAAAAATCAAAAGAGAAAGACAGACCCTTGAGAAAACTTAACCAAGTTCCTTTCATAAAAAAACTTTCTTAAAAAAAGAAAGAAAATTTCCATGACAATGTAGCAAAAGTCAAAGATTATCCTATTTCAAATAACCAGCCCCCAAATCAATATTTGATTCAAATTTTTTTTTGTTCTAAGACTTATCACAGTTACAGTTTTATCTACGCTAAATTTTATGAAATTTAAAACAAACTTCTTTGATGATTTTACATTTTGGTTACAAGATAAATTCCAAAGTAAATGGCTGAAGGTACTGGGACATTAAGTTCTTATTTTAAGTATATTCACTTTATCTGGGCCTTTTAAGGCCGAATTATCACTCTTTTTTTTACCCTTGCTTCCCTTAAAGAACAACTTTGATACAAAGTTAGAGGTGAATTTTTCAATTCAATTAACTGAAAGATTAGTTTTACATTTCTGTTAGTAAAAAGAAAGCCAGGGAGTCAATATAGTGTAATTCAAAAATGCCTTTATTTCAATGGCAAAAAAGTATTAAATCTTACTATACTAGTTTGAATTATGTTTTTTTCTTACAACAGTAAACATATCTTAAGTAGCAACTCATAAAATGTATATTAAAATAGGCCCTCCAGCCTATGTAAGATAAAATATTAATGTGGGTTAATAATATGAACAAATGTCTAATAAATTACTACAAAAACAAAGGTTTAGAATGTTAGCTCTTCACATTCCACATAGAACTTCCAGTGTTGATCCATTATATGGCATGGGAGAAATTCTTGATCACTGATTAACAGTACTTCATTTATTTGTAGATAAGGTGGGATGCTTTGCATTGACTCTCTGGATGTTCCTGTTTAAAGGAGTGTCAATAAATTAAAATACAGTCTTAAAAATAATATTTAAATTTACTTATTACAAATCCTAGACCCTCATCAAGCCTATGAGCACACAAAAGACATGAACAGAAATTTCACCAAAGAAGACCTACACATGGCCAACAAGCACATGAGAAAATGCTCCGCATCCCTTGCCATCAGGGAAATACAAATCCAAACCACAATGAGATCCCACCTCACACCAGTGAGAAGGGTGAAAATTAACAAGACAGGAAACCACAACTGTTGGAGAGGATGTGGAGGAAGGGGAACCCTCTTGCACTGTTGGTGGGAATATGAACTGGTGCAGCCACTCTGGAAAACTGCGTGGAGGTTCCTCAAAGAATTAGAAATATATCTGCCCTATGACCCAGCAATTGCACTGCTGGGGATTTACCCCAAAGATACAGATGAAGTGAAATGCCAGGACACCTGCACCCCGATGTTTATAGCAGCAATGTCCACAATAGCCAAACTATGGAAGGAGCCTCGGTGTCCATCGACAGATGAATGGATAAAGAAGATGTGGTCTATGTATACAATAGATTATTCCTCAGCCATCAGAAAGGACGAACACCCACCATTTGCTCTGACGTGGATGGAACTGGAGGGTATTATGCTGAGTGAAGTAAGTCAATTGGAGGACAATCATCATATGGTTTCACTCATATGGGGAATATAAGAAATAGTGAAAGGGATTATAGGGGAAAGGAGGGGAAGTGAGTGGAAAATATCAAAGAGGGAGACAAACCATGAGAGACTCCTAACTCTGGGAAACAAATAAGGGGTAGTGGAAGGGGAGGTGGGCGGGAGGATGGGGTGACTGGGTGACGGGCACTGAGGGGGGCACTTGACAGGATGAGCACTGGGTGTTATACTATATGTTGACAAATTGAACTCTAATAAAAAAATACAAAAAAATAAAAGAGCCAGAGCATGATATGCAACAAAACAAAACAAAAACAAAAAAAGTCTATGAACACACAATGGGATTTTGGAGCAAGTCATAATTCACTCCATTTTCTATATCCAAGATAAAGCTGTAAGCCAGCATTGGCTTATCTTGGGAAAAAGAAGTTTGCTTGCCGTCTAAACCAACCAATGCCAAAAAAAGATGACTGAAGTTTCTGAGGGTAGTTGTACAAACTCCTCTGTCTCAATTTTCAGTAAACTGAGAATAAAGCAGTTGTGAAGATTAAGTGGGAAGTTGCTGTGAAATGACTGGCTACTGGCTAACATACAGCAAACACTAAATAAATAGAAGCTACTATTATTATCATTATTTCTTAATGAAATGAAAATAGTAAGATGAATGGATAAAGAAGATGTGGTTTATGTATACAATGGAATATTACTCAGCCATTAGAAACAACAAATACCCACCATTTGCTTCAACGTGGATGGAACTGGAGGGTATTATGCTGAGTGAAGTAAGTCAATCGGAGAAGGACAAACAGTGTATGTTCTCACTCATTTGGGGAATATGAATAATAGTGAAGGGGAATATAAGGGAAGGGAGAAGAAATGTGTGGGAGATATCAGAAAGGGACACAGAACATAAAGACTTCTAACTCTGGGAAATGAACTAGGGGTGGTGGAAGGGGAGGAGGGCGGGGGGTGGGGGTGAATGGGTGACGGGCACGGAGGGGGACACTTGACGGGATGAGCACTGGGTGTTATTCTGTATGTTGGTAAATTGAACACCAATAAAAATTAATTTATATATAAAAAAAAGAAAATAGTATGAAAATAGTATGAAATAGTGAAAATAGTATTGAAATGAAATGAAAATAGTATTAGCCTGGAAGATGGATAATCAATTTTTCTAGGCCACACAAACTTGTGTGATCTCAAGCAAGTAACATGGATTCTTCCACCCACTACAACTAGAAAAACAGCCATATATGTGAACTTTTGACTCTTCTTGTGCTCCTTGTCCCCAACAAGCACTGCAACAGCTAACAAACCATTATGCTCATGCGAGAAGTAGAGAGAAATACATCTTTCTCAAGTAATATCACCAAATATTAGATATTCCTTAAACTGAACTGCAAGATTCATCAGTAGGCAAAAAAAAAAAAAAAAGGTTCATGCAACTATTCATGTTATCTACTTGCCTAAATTAGCACTTCAAAATGACAAGCTAACTAGATTGGTTAAAAATAATTTTAACTTTCACTTTTCTTTTTCCTCTAATTCTTTTTAAAATTTCTCTTTATAGACCAAAAAGCAAAAAATAATCAGATTCATTATTTTTTTTTAATTTTATAAATTAATTTTTATTGGTGTTCAATTTACCAACATACAGAATAACACCCAGTGCTCATCCCGTCAAGTGTCCCCCTCAGTGCCCGTCACCCATTCACCCCCACCCCCCGCCCTCCTCCCCCTCCACCACCCCTAGTTCATTTCCCAGAGTTAGAAGTCTTTATGTTCTGTCTCCCTTTCTGATATTTCCCACACATTTCTTCTCCCTTCCCTTATATTCCCTTTCACTATTATTCATATTCCCCAAATGAATGAGAACATACACTGTTTGTCCTTCTCCGGTTACTGTGGCCAAGTTCAAAAAGGGTGTTGCCTGAGTTCTCCTCTGGGATTTTGATGGAATCTTGTCTCACATTTAGATCTTTCATCTATTTTGAGTTTATCTTTGTGTATGGTGCAAGAGAGTGGTCCAGTTTCATTCTTCTGCATGTGGATGTCCAATTTTCCCAGCACCATTTATTGAAGAGACTGTCTTTCTTCCAGTGGATCGTCTTTCCTCCTTTATCGTATATTATTTGAGCATAAAGTTCAGGGTCCACTTCTGGGTTCTCTGTTCTGTTCCATTGATCTATGTGTCTGTTTTTGTGCCAGTACCACACTGTCTTGATGAACACAGCTTTGTAGTACAACCTGAAATCTGGCATTGTGATGCCCCCAGATATGGTTTTCTTTTTTAAAATTCCCCTGGCTGTTTGGGGTCTTTTCTGATTCCACACAAATCTTAAAATAATTTGTTCTAAGTCTCTGAAGAAAGTCCATGGTATTTTGATAGGGATTGCATTATATGTGTAAATTGCCCTGGGTAACATTGACATTTTCACAATATTAATTCTGCCAATCCATGAGCATGGAATATTTTTCCATCTCTTTGTGTCTTCCTCAATTTCTTTCAGAAGTGTTCTATAGTTTTTAGGGTATATTTTGAGAACCATTTGAATGGTAAATGGTTCTCCAACCTTTTATTTTCAGGTTGTAGGTGTCCTTCTGTCTAAAATGAGTCTCTTGTAGACAGCAAATAGATGGGTCCTGCTTTTTTATCCAGTCTGAAACCCTGGGCCTTTTGATGGGGTCATTAAGCCCATTCACGTTCAGAGTTCCCCCCTAAAATCAATAAAAACCGTTCAACACCTCGACATCTAATAGTGAAGCTTGCAAATTCCAAAGATAAAGAGAAGATCCTTAAAGCAGCAAGAGACAAGAAGTCCCTGACTTTCATGGGGAGGAATATTAGGGTAAGAGCAGACCTCTCCACAGAGACGTGGCAGGCCAGAAAGGGCTGGCAGGATATATTCAGGGTCCTAAATGAGAAGAACCTGCAACCAAGAATACTTTATCCAGCAAGGCTCTCATTCAAAATGGAAGGAGAGATAAAGAGCTTCCAAGACAGGCAGGAACTGAAAGAATATGTGACCTCCAAACCAGCTCTGCAAGAAATTTTAAGGGGGACTCTTAAAACTCCCCTTTAAGAAGAAGTTCAGTGGAACAATTCACAAAAACAAGGACTAAATAGATATCATGATGACACTAAACTCATATCTGTCAATAGTAACTCAGATTCATTATTTTAACTGAGAGTTCACTTAAGAAATATCACTAACCTATGAACTCTTTTCATTCAACCCATTTTACCTCTCCGGCTCTGTATCTGTAAAATAGGTCCAAGACTAGACGATATATGTTTCACTTCTAACTCTTTAAATGTTTGAACTCAGACTTCCAGAAGTTATTCTCACAAACTAAGCATTCTTCATTTCATTAAGATTATGGAATGAAACTGCTTACTCTAGTAATAAATGGAAATGAACATATTTATGCACATATTCTTAGTCCGAACAAGAAGTATAAATCCAATCAAAGGGAAAATGATGAGGAATTATTTTAATAGATTGTAAAAACTCATCTGCTGTAGTTATACTGAGGAAAAATTCAATTATGGCTATTAAAGACAAAGTTTGAAGCTGTTTTAAAATAAAAGGATTCTAAAGGATAATATGATAGTAGAGTATTAGATGATTTGATATTTAAAAGTGAATTAATAGTTTGAGACAGAATTACTTTGATAAGATCAAAGCTACCTGTGAAAACTGTACTGAAGTGAAGAAACACCCCTGAACATTATAAGTTTAAAACTATTTAAGCCCTCTTTCTTTGTGGGAAAATAAATTTAATAGGTAGTTTCTTAAGCTGAATTAGGCTGGAGATGCTTATTAATTTTAAGTGTAAACTGTTCATGTTTTTTTCTGCTTTTTTTGTACAGACTTGAACTCTGGAGTTTTACTAGTTAAGAAGCTCCTCAGTGGCCTAATGTATGTAAAATAATCTGGCAGGAGATCTGGCACATGGCAGGTGCACAACAGAAAATTAGTTTTCTTCTCTTTCCTCCCCTATCAGCATTGTCCAGTTTATGAATTAGGTCAAAGTTAATCATGATACCAGGATGAAAAAATTATGATTGAAGTCATGAAAAACAATCAAGAAATGTAAACAGGAGCCGAAATAAACACCTTCTGGTCTGTTATCAGGCACCCATCTTCCTTAGGTGTTTAAGTTTGAAGTTCTTAACCACTTAAAACAGAAGCACCTGCAAATGTTTGTGCTCTATTACACATGCTTTTACAGAGCAATGAAGCACAGTATCAGCACCAAAATGAAGAAAACTTTCTTTAAAGTCATTTATTTGCAATGTATTATCAGTAGGTCCAGGACAGGTTTTATTAAAAACAAGAGTCTATTTTTTTTCTGAAGAAGCATGTTCGATTTTCAAATGAAGAAATAATGTTAGGTTCCCTTGAAATAAAATGACATATTTAATATGCATTAAATGATGACTTGGGAAAAGAAAGAACTTCAGGAGATACTTTTTTTTTCTTAGATGAATACATTTGGCATAATGTGTTTTCAGTGTGCTATCTAATACTATAGTGATAGGTAACATAGATATATATAAAATTGGCTTTTTTGGGTAAATAATGAAATGTCATCTACCTTAACAGATTCTTTTTAAAGAACTGCAGAAAAGGTTGATATATCTGTATGCAGTGATTACAAATTATGTAGAATTTTGGGAATGTTCATTTTTTCCTTCCAATTTACTCTGAAATATCAATGAAGATTCCCTCAATAACACAGAAGAGAAACTATAGCCAAGGAGGCAGAGGAGGAAGGCTTGGGAGAAAGTTATGAATTTTCAAGGGAAAATATACCATAGATTCACTCCATTTTATAGCTTCTAAAGACCTTAGCGATAGATACTTCAGGAATTCATCAACAGAATTTCATTTTTAAAGGCTGGGGTTTCTATGTTTAAAACCTTTAATTAGAAATAACATATGCCTTCAAATGTATTAATATGCTACATCCTAACACCAATACATTACATTAATACATTAAGTCCACCAATACATTAATCTGAGTTACCAATTTAACTAGTCGTTGTGCAAGACTAGGAATAAAGTTCTTCCATAATCTCTGATTCATTGAAGAAAGTCTTAAAATGGCAAGGTTAAAAACTTTTATCACTTACCTTCATGACTCAGGATTTTCTTGATACCATGATTCCAAAATGTTATGTACAAATAAATTGGATACTGAGTTTGGTATTTGTCCCATGAAGTGTTACCATTTGAATTAAAGAAGCTTAGGAAATGTCGGTTACCAAAGCTAAACGGATTTATGATTTCTCACAAAGAGGGGGAGGAGGAAATAGGGGAGGTAGAGGGATATAGCTGTTTTTTAAATATCTGGTTGAGAAAATGGGTAAAGAGATGATGTTCATGATCTGAGGTGGGCTGATAAAATCCATACAGACTTGTTTTTCCTTTAAACTTTGTGTTCTGTAGTGTCAGATCCATGATATCTATGACCACATTTTAGTATGCAAAAGAGGGAAAAATATTTTCTCTAGAATAGTTTGCTTGTTATATATAGAGTTTACATTTTTCTAATTTGCCAAGTCTTTGGATTTCTGTCAGGTAGTACAAAACCACATGCAAAAGAATCCTAAATCAAATAGGTTCAAATAAAACTCCAATAACAGCCTACAGAATTCCAGCAGGTGGGGGGCACCTGAATGGCTCAGTAGGTTAAACGTCCTACTCTTGGTGTTCTTATTCTCTCTCTCTCTCTCAAAGAAAATAAATCAAATCTTTAAAAAAAGAAAAAGAAAAGAAAAAGGAATGCCAGTAGGGATCTGAAGATTCCCAGAGCCAGATTAAGGCAGTAAGAAGCTGGCTGGCCTACTGGCCCTCCATAGTTCTCAAATTACCATTAACATTTTCTGAAATATCTCAAGGAAAGAAAATTCAGTAGTTCTGGAAAGAAATTAGTAATAAGAAACGTGTTTATATTGCAGGCAAAAGAAGCAGCAGTTCAGAACCCATTTTTCATTTCATGCTCACTTAGCAGGGGAACTGTGAGCCCTCCAAGGAAGGAGAAGCATGGCTTGGGTTGGAAATGCCTGCTCAGAACTACAAAATCTGAGCAGCAGATAACCTTTGTGATACAAGGAAGATCTTGTATTTCTGTTCTGACTCCAGAGGTTAGAAACTAGGAGAATAAAGGTTTCGCTTGGCTTTCGTGTGTGTGTGTGTGTGTGTGTGTGTGTGTGTGTGTGTGTGAGAGAGAGAGAGAGAGAGAGAGAGAGAGAGAGAGAGAAAGAGAGAAGGAGGGAGGGAGGCAGGCAACATGAGCAAGCATTAGAGTGAGTGTGCTGTGGAATGGAGGTGGAAGGCTGAATATAAAAGTTTTCAAATTATTATCTGCATAAGAAATCAGATACTACTTACTAGTCATTCAAATCAAATCTACAGTCAGGCTGCATGTGAATAATTTTTTTAAAATTCAGGTTCCTGGCCCCACTCCAATATTTGATTACATAGATCTGCCATGAGGGTTAGGAACCAAAGACCATGAATTAGTACAAAAACTCTTTCCAATTTAATTTCTTCACTATTTCTGTTTCACCTGATCTGTTTTCCCAAAGTGATGAAAAGCAGAAAACTGGGGAAAAACCATCCTATTCTGAAGCCAGTTTTTGAGACAAAGAAGGACCCTAAGAGGTTACAGTGGATTATGTATAAAGTTAGGAGAGGAAAGTACTTTGAATTATTAAGGTTTGCTGTAGGAAGGAATGGCCCCAGGAAGCCCCTGGTTAGGAGCTTAGCAACACCAGTCCCTGTTTGGTTCTTGACTCTGGTTATCACAGAGTTATCATCTTCTGTATTGTATCTCCTTTCTGCCTTTACTGTTCCCAACTGGTCCTAGGCAGAAACTGGGGGGAAAAGAATGGGTGCTGCAGCAGAGAAGGGTAATACAACCCTAGTTATGTCTGATTTTACAGAAATGTGTGTTGCCTCTTCCCAAATTGTTTCAAAATCTGCTGTTAATTGATGAAGATTACATTCTCTTAAGTTTTCTCAGTATTCCATCAGATAAAGCACATTCATTTACACTAACAAGTAAAGATTTATTTTAGTGTTTGCTTTTAGAAAACTAACCAAATCATGCCTGCAGGAAGGAAAAAATACCATTTTGCTTTTTTATATGACCCTTTAAAAAATCTACCCAAAGTAAGTATAGCATAGGTTCAGAGAAAGGAACTATGAGGGAAGGTGTCATTTAAAAAGTTCTCCTAGAATCAACTGTGGTTAAAAATTGAGTATTATAAACAAACAAACAGACAATGACAAGTGTTGGTGAAGATGTGGGGAAACTGGAGCCCTTGAATATTGCTGGTATGATGTAAAATGATTCAGTTGGTGTGGAAAACACTTTGGCTGCTTCTCAAAAAAGTTCAACATATAATTACTATATGATATAGCAACTCCACTCCTAGGTATCTATCCAAAAGAACTAAAAATGGGTACAAATATATGTATCCATGTGCTCACAGCAGCACTATACCCAAAAGCCAAAAGTGTTCTGAAATGAACATCCACCCAGCCAGGATCCTTGAAAGCGTTATGTTAAGTGAAAGATGCCAGACACAAGTAGTTATACATTATATGATTCCATTTATATGATACATTCAGAATCAGCAAATTCATAGAAAGTAGACTGCATAGAGTAGAGAACAGGGAACAATTGTTGAATGGATGTGGAGTTTCTTTTTGGGTAATGGACGTTGTTTTAGAACTACACAAAGGTGGTAGTTGCACAATATTGTAAATGTACTAAATAATATGCCAAGCAAAATAAGTCAATCAGAGAAAAACAGGTATCATATGACCTCATTAATATGTGGAATTTTTTTTTCGTATGTGGAATTTAAGAAACAAAATGGATGAACATTTGGGAGTGAGGGAACAGAGAGAGAGGGAAACAATAATGAAAGACTCTTAACTATAAACAACAAACTGAGGACAGATGGAGGGAGGTGGTTGGGGGATGGGATAGATGGGTGATGGGTATTAAGGAGGGGATGTGTTTTGCGAGCACTGGGCATTATATATGTTAAGTGATGACTCACTGAACTCTACTCTTGAAATCAATATTGAGCTGCATGTCAACTACCTAGAATTTAAATAAAAGCAAAGAAAAAATTCCACTGAATTATTATTCACTTTAAAACAGTTATTTGGGCACCTGGCTGGCTCAGAAGGTTAAGCATCTGCCTTTGGCTCAGGTGATGATCCCAGGCTCCTGGGATCAAGTCCCGTATCAGGCTCCCTTTCCCTCTGCCTGACACTCCCCCTGCTTGTACTCTCTTTCTGTCAAATAAATAAATAAAATCTTTTAAAACATGGTTATTTTAATGTTATGTGAATGAAACAACAACAACAACAAAAAGGAGTGTTTTCTTAGTAGCTTTGGGTGTTATCCTCACAACTAAGAAATGGGTGTTGGTCTGTACATACCTGGAAGACAAGGCTGATGTTGCTGAAGCACCACATTTGGCTCTGCAGATACGGGTACTTCCTCAGAAACATACTTTAAAAGCTCCTTCCCCAGATATGTCACCTGTACATAGTTAAGCACAGAATTAAAAATTCTGTATTTCAAAAGAAGCAAATAAACTCGTCTCTTGCAAGTTTTAACTTTAGTATTGACTATTGTCTATCATAGATTGGCAAACTATAGTCCATGGTCAAATCTGGCCTGCCACCTTTTTCTGTAAGTAAAGTTTTATTGGGTAGCCCCAGTGGCTTAGCGGTTTAGCACCGCCTTCAGCCCAGGGCATGATCCTGGAGACCCAGGATCAAGTCCCACGTCAGGCGCCCTGCATGGAGTCTGCTTCTCCCTCTGCCTGTCTCTCTCTGTGTGTGTCTCTAATAAATAAATAAAATCTTTAAAAAAAGTTTTATTAAAACACAAAGATACCCATTCATTTACTTAATATCAATGGATGCTTTTGTGCTGTAACATGACTGAATATTCACGACAAAGGCAATATGGCCAGAAAGCCTGAAATGTTTATTTGGCCCTTTAGAGAAAACATTTGTTGACCCTGTTGTTTATCACTAATTCTCTCATCCATTCACTTGTTAAACAACCATTAGTCCAGCATCCACTACTTTATAAAATTAAAAAATTAATGTTGTACTAATAAAATTAAGCCATAAAACAGTGCTTTCAAGAAACTAGACATTTAACTAATTAGATTATTAATATTTCAGGTCTATGTATCCAAATTTTTTGGCTTTTTCTGGTTAGTGAACTTAGCTACTATTTACAACCCCAAAGGTCAGATCTTGGAATACCTACACACAAGTAGGTTGGGCCGAGGCAGAATGGCAAACACTTGCCAGAGGGTCTTTGGGTTCTCCACTCTTAGTTCTAGGGCAGCCTGATAATATACCCCTGAAGCTATGTTCTCTGTGGCTAAACCATCTAGTCTCCATGTGCACATCCCTTACTCCAGGATACTTTCTTAGAACTTCTAAGCTCAAGCAATAACTTTCCTCTAGGCCCCCATAAATTCTGTGCTTATATTTGTCAAGGCACTTATTAAATTATGTGTTAATATGTCTGTTTCCATTATCATGAGCTCCTTGAGGACAAGGTCTGTGTCATATTCATTTTTATACTCTTAGCACTTCACATAGTGCCTCACAGTTCTAGGGGAAAAAGCCCTCTGACGCTCCTGCTCTTCAAGATTCTTAAATTCTCTGAGCCTCTGTTTGTACATTTGTAAAACAAGTAACTCCAGCTTATTAGGTCTTGTTGTGAGGATTAGAATAATACATGAGGGCAGCCCGCGTGGCTCAGCGGTTTAGTGCCACCTTCAGCTCAGGGTGTGATCCTGGAGACCCGGGATTGAGTTCCACATCAAGCTCCCTGCATGGAGCCTGCTTCTCTCTCTGCCTGTGTCTCTGCCTCTCTCTCTCTCTCTCTCTGTGTGTGTGTGTCTCATGAATAAATAAATAAAATCTTTTAAAAAAAAGAATAATACATGAAAAGCATTTGGCATACTGTCTAGCACATCCTGAGTGCTCAACAAATGTCTGTTATTTAACAGAATGGGGCATACATAAGGGATCTGGAAGGTTTAGGCACCCTCTTGGCTCAATCCCATAACCAAACAAGCTTGGTAGTGGAAATGGAACAGCTCTGTCTACCCAGTGTGCTAATGCATCCCCACTTGCCATGGAAGGAGAGATGAAGCCTCTGAATGCCATCTGTCAGTTCTTCAAACAACTAACAATTAGAAACAATGGATTTTGTTCATGTTGTGCCCTGACAATATCCAAAACACCTTACATACCCATCAAGTACAGGCTCAGTATGTTTTCACCCGTATTTCAGATTTAAAGTATATTTTTATCTGTTAGTACTAGGTAATATAAAGTGGTAAAACTGTACTTTAGTAGCCTTAGAGGCGATGAGTCCACATAGGTCTTAAACACACCACCAGGGTAATTCAGACATTGAAAGGACACAGCTTTAAAAAAATCCACTGAGTTAAAGATCTAATTTCCATAAGGTGGGAGTGATTTATTGAACAAGGATAATAAGGTACAGGCCTTAAAATATTCAGGCACTAGGTCACCCTTGGAAACTGTCCATTTCAACTGGAAGGTATTAGGCTGAGTGAAGTAAGTCAATCGGAGAAGGACAATCATCATATGGTTTCACTCATATGGGGAATATAGAAAATAGTGAAAGGGATTATAGGGGAAAGGAGGCAAACTGAGTGGGAAAAATCAGAGAGGGAGACAAACCATGAGAGACTCCTAACCCTGGGAAATGAACAAAGGGTTGTGGAAGGGGAGGTGGGTGGGGGATGGGGTGACTGGGTGATGGGCACTGAGGGGGGCACTTGATGGGATGAGCACTGGGTGTTCTACTATATGTTGACAAATAAAACTCCAATTAAAAAATATACAAAAAAGAAAAGAAAAAAAGAAACTCTCCATTTCATAATATTGTCTGTGCTCTAATTGGCTAAAGCATAAGAGCAAACTCATCACATTTGCATATAACTCAGACTTTGAATCCTCAACTCAATCTTGAATCCAAACCTAGTCATATGCCTGTTCTGAAAGAAACATGTAGGAAGAGCTGTAGGTGAGGTCCTTATGGTCTTAGACTACACAGCTGCCAGCAATCTTGACAACTTCACCAATCAAAACTCATTCTGATGAAGGGCAGGTGATGGGATGCCACCTCCCCCAGATGAAAACAGTAATAGAGTTAGGGTAAGGTGCATTCTGTGAGCATACCTATAGGTTGTTGGTTCTTTCTAAAAGGTGGAACTGCAGGAAGTGCTTCATCCTAAGGCCACTGATGCTTTCCCTAAAGCTCTTAGGCAGAAGGTCCATTATTCTCAGTAATCAGTTTATGCTGACTCCCTAATATGATACTTAGGGGGGAAAAAGGCACATGTGCATGTGTGTGTGTGTGCGTGTTTGTGGAGTGGATGGATGATTCAGTTAACCACTTTTCTGGAAATACAGCTAATTAGCCAACTGAAATTATTAATTAACTTTATTTTGGTAAGATCTCTGAAGAAATAAAGTACAATTTCAATTGTCATTAATTGCAATAACAAATGTTTCTCTTTACTCTATAATTCTAATATGCATCAAGAAAAAATACAAACATACCCTGCCTTTATTTTATTTTTTTTAAAGATTTTATTCATTTATTCACAAGACACACACACACACACACACAGAGAGAGAGAGAGAGAGAGAGAGAGAGGCAGAGACATAGTCAGAGGGAGAACCAGGCTCCATGCAGGAAGCCCAACGTGGGACTCGATCCTGGGTTTCCAGGATCAAGTCTTGGGCTGGAGGCAGGCCCTAAACCGCTGAGCCACCCAGAGATCCATATAACCTGCCTTTAAATATTAAAGAGGTGTCCAAGAATTTATTTCCCTGCTGGGGCTCCATTTTATTTGAAAGTATCAGTCCATTTTTCATATGTCTTCAGGAAAACCATTTGTTGGTACTGACTAATGTGAATCTCTTCATGGATGATCAAATGATTGTTTTAATTCCATTTCAAGTTTTATGATGCAAATCTTAACAAAATTGCACTACCTCAAAAGGAAGAGAGGAAAGGATAATTGTTTTTGATATCAGGAGTTTGGTGGGAGGAAGGCAAAGAAGGAAAGGTTTTCTTTTAGGGTCACTGTAACATAAAACACATTTTGGAAAAGTAAAATAATTCTCAAATATTTGAGAAGGATATATCAAAGTGTAATAACTACCACAAAAGAACTGATCCTGGAAAAGTAATGATGAAAGTCACGTTCATCTTCATATCACCTACCTCCTCCCAATCCCCATCCTAAAGCCTCTCCTTCTCCATTTCCCCCAGGCACTGCACACAGCTCCAGGCAAGAAAAGGGCAGTAGGCCTTTCACATTATTTATGGTTTAGGATTCACACCTCTCGGATATTTGTATTGTAAAAGGGCCTACATCTCCAACCATCTGAGCTGGGCTCTTAGGAGGTTTAAGTTAAGATAATTTGGGAATGATTAATTGACTCAGTGAGGCTGTCTGGCCATCTAGATCAACAATTTTAATCACGTTTTTAAAAAGATTTATTTATTTATTTATTTATTTTTATTTATTTATGAGCGAGAGTGTGTGAGTGGTAGGAGGTGCAGAGGGAGAGGGAGACACAAAAGACGCCCCACTGAGCAGGGAGCCTGACACAAGGCTTGATCCCAGGATCCTGAGATTGCTATCTGAGCCCAACTCAAGAGTCAGAGACTTAACTGAATGAGCCACCCAGGTACACCAATAATTTTCATCACTTTCTATACTCCTACCTCAACCTTTCCATATCTTAATATTCCTAATCATGGTGGTAGGAGGAATTGTTTTCGAAAGTATGTAGGGTGAGGAGTAACCATAGAGAAAAGTTGATACTAAATCCAAAGTAGTGAATTTATAAGGGTAGAAATTCAGAGAGTGAGTCATTTGGATGGGAAGTATATTTTCACAAGAGAACTGTCAATGCTCCTTCAGTCACTGCCCAAAATGGCAGTCTATTTTTCATCTGCAAAATCCAGTCCTGAGCATTCACAAAAATAAACTATCATAGCCATTCTTATGATTATCATACCACAACTTTGTCACAGAAAGGTGTTTTTTTTTTCCTGTGGAAGTGGACAATTTTTCCTGCACAAGAATGAGACTTTGCATAAATTCATAAAGGCAGCTAAGTAAATACTGTGTGCTCTTTTGAGTTCAGGGCATCCTGTTTCCAAAGAAAGGAATGTAGTTTCCGTTGTGTCACTGTAAATGTAGAAAGTAATGTACAGGGAACCATAAGATCAGGTTCTAGTCCTGGTTCTGGCACTTACTGGCCTTGAGGCTAATCAAGTCACTTAATCTCCTATACCTGTGGTTTTATATCCAGAGATAGAGAAAAATAGCTGATTTTCTTACCTCATGAGGTTGTGAAAGAATATATGTAAAAGGCTTTATAAATCACGTATGGCTATGCAAGTCCTGGAATCTCCAAACTGGAAGGGTCTTTAGAGACAATTAGCACTACTACTTATATATAAGAAAAATGAAGTTCAGAAAGTTAAGTGACTTGATCTAGATCAGTGATTCTTACTCCAGTTTGTCTATTATAATTACCTGGAGAGCTGTTTAAAATATTGCCACCTGGTCTTCAGTCAAGACTATTAGGATCAGAAGGTATCTGACTGTGGTCCAACAGGCATTAGTAGTCTTTAAGACCTCCCCAAGTGACTCTAATGTGTAGGCAGAATTGAAAAACATTCCCAGATCATGTAACTTCTCAAGAGTGGAACCAGGAACTAGTTTGGCCTCCCGTCTCCCACCCAGAGATCATTCTTACCCATCAGGATGATAGCTAATATCTAGGAGACCATAGCAGTAAAGCAATCAGTAATGACCAGTGGGAGTAAGCATCAGGATTCCCTGTATAGCAACCCAGCTGCTTGGGTAGGAAGTATGAGTCATTTGTGTCTAGAGGCTCTGCCATTCTGTCTGAGGTAGGACAAGACCTAGTTTTTCAGAATTTCTTGCCTGATGACCAACCCATTCCTGGCCCCATTGCCATACCAGCATTCTCAAAATGAGTTAGCAGAAATGTTCACATTTACCAATGTAGCAAAGAGCTCCTGTCCTTGAGAAGTGACTAAGAATTCATGAGTTACCTCATGACAAGAAGAGGTAGAGGTTTCTGTGGTAAGTTTTATTTTATTTTTTTAAGATTTTGTTTATTTATTCATGAGACAGAGAGAGAGAGAGAGGCAGAGACACAGGCAGAGGGAGAAGCAGGCTCCACACGGGGAGCCTGATGTGGGACTCAATCCCGGGTCTCCAGGATCATGGCCCGGGGTGGAAGGCAGCACTAAACCGCTGGGCCACTGGGGCTGCCCCATGTGGTTAAGGTTTATTTTATTTTATTTTATTTTATTTTATTTTATTTATTTATTTGAGAGAAAGGGCGGGGGGGCAGAGACACAGGCAGAGGGAGAAGCAGGCTCCATGCAGGGAGCCCGATGTGGGACTCGATCCCGGGTCTCCAGGATCTTGCCTAGGCTGAAGGCGGCGCTAAACGGCTGAGCCACCAGGGCTGCCCCATGTGGTTAAGTTTTAAAAAAGGATTTCATTTTATTTTATTTTTTAAGATTTATTTATTTGTTTGTTTGTTTGTTTATGATAGAGATAGAGAGAGGCAGAGACACAGGAGGAAGGAGAAGCAGGCTCTATGCCAGGAGCCCGACGTGGGACTCGATTCCGGGACTCCTGGATCGCGCCCCGGGCCAAAGGTAGGTGCCAAACCGCTGAGCCACCCAGGGATCCCTTAAAAAAGGATTTTAAATATTGTAAAAAAAACTCCACCATGGTAGTGTTTCTCAGCCTGGGGTATTTATTAGAAGTACATGAGTGCCCTATGGTATTTTTAAAATTTTTAGGATAATTAAAAAAATTTACAGGTCTATTTAGATAATCTTATGAATATCTTACAACCAAGAATTCTAATTGTAGTGCTTACTTGCCTTTGGCTTCATTGCCAACATAGGTGTTAAACTATATGATGAACTGACATGGCTGGTAAGGAAAGACCAGAGGCAATGTGGTAAATAAATGAGGCCTAAGTACAGAGTGAGAGCCAAATGATGTCACAGCCAGCTATTCAAAAGCAGAAAATGCAGTAGTTCCAATAAAGAAAAAGAGTGGGAGAACTGAGTCATCACTGGGCACACAGTAGCAGAGGCATATTGAAGCTCAAAAAAACTCAACTACAGAAATCAGTACCATATTCATGTTGTGAGCACAGAGTATTTCAGCAAAATGATATAAACTATCAAAAGTTTAGAAAACTTTAATAAAAAGGGATTTCCAAGGGTAAAATGTTAATTACTAACATGAAAATATGATTCATGTTTTCATGGAAATGGCTGGACATGTGAAAACTAGATGGCCTGTGATTCCAGGAGTGGTAAATAAACAAGAAAAATCCTTTAAGAAAAAAAAAAACAGATTCTACAGTAGAGAAAAATCTAAGATGTGCTGATATAAGTAAAGGAACTACACCATAGTTTTGGAAGCACAAAAGTCTAGGATATCAGAAAATAGGTTACGGACTAGGAAGGAGGGGAGGAGCTAGGAGGAAGGGTTAGCAGAGCTAAGTGGGACAAAAAAGGGGAAAAGAAACTGCTTTTTATTTCTTAGGTACTGAGGCTTATAAAATGGCTAGTGGAGGGGAAGGCATCTGCAGTTCTGTTTGACAGTATTGGTGGATGTCTGAAGATTCACACTTTCCTGGGTCAATCACTGAAAGATTGTTCCCTTAAGTGTGGCCATGGATATCTGGAGGTGAACCTCAAAGGTGTCTGTCATTAATAGTCTTTAAATTGGTGGTTAAACTGGGCTTATAACTCATAATATAGAACTATGGGGAAGACTACTAAGTCTGAGAAGTTGGAATGAAAAGATATATTTCTTTTTGGGAGGTTGGCAACTGATGGATAAAACTGTGTTCACACAAAAGCACACCATAACTTCTGTGGGTCTTAGGCTGCTTACTTGTTCCTTTGTCTTTACGGGAAGTTTTTCCTTCATTACATCAGAATACTAACATATAACTAAATCATCAATACACCAGAGGTCTCAAATTCTCTATGTGGAGTCACAAAGTACTGAATTCACCTGGAGGGATAATAGGGGAAGGTTGAGGGCATTTGAATTTCTGAGACCAGATGAGGAACAAGGAAGGAAAGGCTGTCAGCTGTCCAATTCTGCCCCTGGGGATTTCTGGCAAATAAGAGTTGTGGGAGAAAGTATGTAGCATATCGTACAAAGAATATATAGTTTGGAGAATTTCTGATTTCTTAAAAAAATAGTTTTATCATAAAAAAAATAAGTACCTTTCCATTTGAATATGAAGTTACAGATATACTTAAGAATGACTCACCTTACTCCAAGCATAATTCCAAGTCACATAACTGTTGCCTCCTAGAAGATCCTTGAGCCAGGTGACTGGATTTTGATAAATCTGACCATTTTCTACCTTAATTTTACCGCTCAGTAAGACACTGGCTTTGTGGGTAGTCTCCTAAAGTGAAAAATGAAAAAAAATTAAGAAAGAAAAATACCTAAAATATGTAAACTTCTACTTTTGGCCATGATGGAGTAAGAGGAACCAGATTTACCCTAACACAAACAAAAAACAGACAAAATATATTAAGCAGTGGTTTGCAAGGTACTAAACAGCAGGCAACAAAGTACAGTACCCTGAGAAGTGAGAAATGAATGAGGTAAGCCTTCCAAGTGTCCTAGCTCCCTGCCTTGAATGTTACCAGGTCAGGGTGCAGGAAGAGGGGATTCTAGGCAAAGCCTGTTGACGCCCTGAGTTGAGGAGACAGAGCAGAGATCATGGAGGCAAGGTACCTAGAGTTTGCAGGACAGAATACTGAAGAAGAGAGCAATACAAAGAGGGAGGACTCTGCAGATCTTCAGGGGGTCCTCTTTAGCATTCAGCTGAGTAGTGATTGGCCGTGTTTGGGAGCAAGTTACCCAGGGCTGGGAAAAGAACCACCTGAAAGGATTAGAGGTAAGGACATCTGGCATTCTCAAAGGTCAGAAATAGTGCCTGTTCCCAACAGCACAACTAGAAAACCTCATAACTGGTGGGGCTTTGGTAGGGTACACAGAAGAGTCAGTTATTTCCCACTCAGTAGTAGGAAATAACTAGCCCTAGATTGAACACATTGCTCCAGTCCTGCTGACCAAATCTTAAAAGCAAGACACCAAAGGATCAAACTATTTCCAAGGAACTTAACTGCATCCTAGAATAAATCTACAATATATTTATAAGAATAAAAAATATTCAGCATCCAGCAAGGTAGATTTCACAATGTGTAGGATTCAATGAAAAATTCACAGGCCTAGAAAGAAGTAGGAAAATACAACTCATACAGAAGAGATAAAGCAAACAACTGAAAATGAGAACTGATAAGAATGTTTGCATTAGCAGACAAAAACATTAAGTAGTTATTACAATCATATTCCACATGTTCAAAAGTTATGTAGAGACATGGAAAATATTTTTTAAAAGACCAAAATCAAAATTCTAGAGATGGAGAATACATTGATGATTAGATATTTCTTTTTTTATTAGATATTTCAAACAAAAAGATTAGTAAATTCAAAGACAAAGGAATAAGAATTGCATAAAAATGAAACACCGAGAAAAGAGAATTTTTTTAAATGAAAAGATTATCAGTGAATTATAGAAGGATTTCAAGCAATCCATTATGTATGTAATAAGAGGTTCAAAAATGGAGGGGAGGGAGGAAATAATGTTTGGAGAAATAATGGCTGAAATGTTTCCACATCTGAGATTAAAATTTGGAACACAGAGATTCAAGAAATTCAATAACCCCCAAGCATAAGAAACAAAAATATTATGCTAATACTCCTCATAATCAAAATTGCTTAGAACCAGATAAAGAGAAACTCTTACAAGCAGCCAGAAGGAGAAAAAAAGACCCATTATTTATGGAGGAACAAGGTTAAGAACAGTGTGTCTAAACAATGGAGTAAATCTTTAAAGTACTCAAAGAAAAAAAAACCCTTTCAACACAGGAGTCTATATGTCTAGCAAAAATTATTTCAAAAATGTAGGTGAAATAAACTTTTTCAGACATGGCAAAAGTTAAAAGGATTCACTATTGGCAGAAGACCTTCAATGCAAAAAATGTTAAAGACAGTCCTCCAGGCAGAAGAAAGATGACAGCAAATGTCAATCAGGATCTACACAAAGGAAACAAAAACAGAAATAGTAACTACATGAGAAAAAATACTTTTCTTAACATTTAAGTCTACTTCAAAGATAATTGTTTAAACAAAAATAATAATGTATGGAATTTATAACATTAGATCAAAGCAAAATATATGATAACACAAAGGTCAGGAGTAGAGAAAGGGAAGCATACTAGCTTGTGGTTCTTAGAGTATACATGAAGTGATAAAATATCACAGGTACTGGGAGAAGTTAAAAATATGTTCCATAAACTCTAATACCACAACTGAAGTAAAACGAATTATAGCTAACAAACCAACAAAGGAAACGAAGCATAAAAAAATGAAAAAGGGAACAAAGAGACAAGAGAAATAGAAAACAAATGCCATGTGATAGATTTAAACCTAAATTTATTGAAAGTCCCACTGAATGTAAATATTCTTTTTTAAAAAAAATAGATTTTATTTATTTATTTATTTATTTATTTATTTATTTATTTATTTATTTATTTATTTATTTATTTAAGAGAGGGAGAAAAAACACAAACAGGTGGAAAGACAGACGGAGAGGGAAATGGCCAGGCAGACTCTGCTGAGTGCAGAGCCTAATGCAGTGTGGGGCTTGTTCCCATTATCTTGAGATTATAACCTAAGCTGAAGTCAGATGCTTAACCAGATGAGCTACCCAGGCACCCCTGAATGTGAATATTCTAGAATCGACTTCTGGCATAACAATGTGGGGATCCAGTCTCACATGAAAAGTATTTTAAAAAATTGTTTAAATCTCTGGAAAGGGGGGCACCTGGGTGGCTCAGTGGGTTAGTGCCTGCCTTTGGCCCAGGGTGTGATCCCAGGGTCCTGGGGTTGAATCCCACATTGGGCTCCCTGCATGGAGCCTGCTTCTCCCTCTGACTGTGTCTCTGTCTCTCTCTCTCTCTGTGTCTCTCATGAATGAATAAAATCTTTAAAAAAATCTCTGGAAATGGTTAAACACATGTAGCAAATAAAGAGCCATCTATTCAGCAAAATCTATGACAATTAGGTGGAAAAAAAAGTGAGTCTGTGGTATGTGAACCAAGATTGCTTCCTTCCTCCCCCTTCCCGCCTCAATAACGTGCAGATTCCACTCCAGACTGTACAGCCAAGAACACAGGGCTCCCTCTCCCTGTAGCACCTAATCAGAGGGCTACCTTCGTATCAGGTGCAGGATATCAGCATTTCTCATCCTGCCCTCAGCATCTGTTGATAAGGCTAGGTTGTGAGTGAGTAAGTGCAGCCAAAGGTGAGGGATCCCTCCTGCCTAGTCTGCACTGGTGAGGCAGAGGCTCCATCTTTGGCATGGTGCCAATGAGACTACTAGGACCCTGATCACCCTTGCCTGGCTTATAAGGTGGTGGTTTCATGTCAAGAGGGACAAGCTGTAAAGGCACAAGCCTACTGTGCCCATCTTGGCTAAATGCTCAGCTCCTAAAGTCAGGGTGTCATTCAGAGAAAAGTTGCTATGTTCCCATCCCAGCTCCAGAGCTATGGCACAGAGATTTGGGAAAAGAAGCAAGCCTTAAAACAGATGGTTCCTCCCTAATCATCTCCAAAGGAAATGACTTCATTTGCAACAGAACATGGAGAAGTTCAAGCTCAAGGTCACTTTAAAGGCAGTACAGGTTGTGGTAAAAAAATATTTTAAAGTAAATTGATAGATTCACTGTGGATACAGGCTGGCTAGTTTTTATGAGAGAAATGGGGAAATAAATAGTAGAGAAGAGCCTAATAGAATCAGAATAAAACTCAAACACTGACTTCATAAACTATACTTTCAAAGGAGCACACACTTGACTGTATTAGTCGCGTTGAGCAATTTATGCTCCAGGTCATTGTTGAAAACAATATAATAATTAACCAGCAATAAGTGGAGCTTGATGGCCAGGTATGCACAGAGAAAGAGACAGTTAAGAAAGACCTGCCAAGGCCTCAGTCCATGCAGCACAATATGAAAAGTTTAACACTATATTGGGAAAAATAACCTCCACTAAAACAATCTAGCCAGTAACTAAATAAGCAGGCACATAACAATAACAAGCGAGAAGGTGGGGGCCAGTACATGGAATTGCTACATATTTCAAAGTATCTAAAATGTCCATTTACAACAAAAAATTGACATGAGGAAAAAGAGGAATGGTATGACACACCTAAACAAATAGAGCAAGAACACATCTGTAAGAATGACTAAATGTTGGATTTAACAAAGACTTCAAAACAGTCATTATAAAAATGTTAAAGGAACTAAAGGAAACCATAATTAAGGAAGTAAAGGAAGGTATGATGACAATGTCATATCAAATAGAGAATATCAATAAAGATACAATTTATTTAAAAAAAACAAATAGAAGTTATGGAGTTGAAAAAGTACAATAACTGAAATGAAAAATTTACTAGAGGGGCTCAAAAGATTTATGATATCAGAAAAAGAATAAACTTGAAAAAAAGATCAATAGAGGTTATGAAAGCTGAAGAACAAAGAAAAAATGATGAAGAAAAATGAAAAAGCCTTACAGAAATGTGAGACACCATTAAGCACACAAAAGTGCATGAGAGTACCAGAAGGACAAGAGAGAAAAAAGACCAGAAAACATACTTGAAAAAATAATAGATGAAAACTTCTCAAATTTACTGAAAAACATTAATCTATACTTTCTGAAGGAGGCTCAGTGACTTCCAAGTAGGATAAACGTGAAAAAACTCGTAAACAGAATTGCTAAAAGTCAAAGACAATAATAAAATACTGAAAGAAGAGAAAAATGACTCATCACTTACAAGAGCACTCCAACAGTTGGCTTCTTATTAAAATAATGGAAGCCAGAAGCAGTGGAATAACATAGTCAAAGTGTACAAAGAAAAAATCATCAACCAAGAATCCTATATCCAGCAAAGCTATCTTTAAGAAATGAATTTAAATAAAAACATTGCTGGATAAACAAAAACGGAGAGAATTTGTTGCTAGCAAACATGATAAGAAATATCAGAGGAAGTTCTTCAGACTGCAAGTGACTCCAAACAGTAATATGAATCCACGTGAGAAAACAGAGAACACTGGTAAATGTAAGTAATTACGCATTATAAAAGACAATATGAACAAATATTTCTTCTCTTAACTGATTTATAAAATTATAGTATTAAATAATAGATAATGTATATATTTCAAGATAGCAAAAAGGAGGTGAGTGGGAGGAAAGTTTTCTTGTACTAAGGGAATAATATCAGGGAATGTGTATTTGGTAACTCAAATTCACAGAAACAGATGAAGAAAACCAGAAA